TCTAATATGCTATGATATATATAGTTCACAATTCATATTAGTGAATCATGTACAACGAAATATATATATATATATATATAATTCTTTTTTACAGATTGCTGTGTCGCTGCCTTATATATATATATATATATATCGTATTAAAACATTCAATAGGGCAGCGACACAGCAATCTGTAAAATAGAATTATATATATTTATATATATATTTCGTTGTACATGATTCACTAATATGAATTGTGAACTATATATATCATAGCATATTAGACTAGCATAGCTTAAGTAAAAATTAATAATTCACTTGAATGCAATGTATAACAAAAAATGTATACCAAATTTGGATATAACTTTATAAACTTCTTCATTCTGTTATAATAATTTACTGTAGAATTACATATTTTAGCACAATAGAATGCGTGAATACGTATTGCTAAATAATGCTAAACTGCACTTTATTGAATTTCATAATAAAATTTTATAATAGGCGACACTAGTTGTACCGATCTATGTACTCTTAATATATGACTAATAGAAAACACGCATTATTAGACAAATAATTGAGTAATGGGATCAAAATCTAAACAAATCACGAGATTTAAGTGCATGTCCAGCAAAAGGAGCAGAAAAGGGAGCAGTCTACAAACTAGCAAATACGTATTTAGCGGCTTGAGGGTGAATAGACCAATGTGAACGGCTTCAGGCTGTCCGAGGATTCGCGGGCGTCCCAAACATGGCCCGTGTTGCCGGGGCTCGAACCCATCTTTGTCCGATCCCGGGCAGAGCTGCTACTGGTTGTGTGAATAATGTCTTCCTCATGAACGTACGATCCGGTCCCGACTCCTGCAGGTTCGCGCCAGATCCAGACAGTGCTATTCTCGGCCGCGTGTCTGTATCTACGCATGTAGAAGTATTAAAAAGATTGTGATTTCTGTATCATGTATTATTGACGTGTATTTATGATAAAAGATGTTTGTACATTTTTGCGCAGTTGTCTGTGCTGGCTTATTTGCCGGCATCACCAGTCCTGCTTGTACGTGCCCAAGAAAATGTAGGTGCGATGCTTGCGGTGGAGGAAATCGCTGAAGAATTTGTGTGAGCATAAGCTGATGTGAGGCAGCGATGGTGCGATTTTCCCACAATCGCATGAATAAGTGGTGATTGTGAGTACTGAGTGTGAGGTTGCAAATTCAACTATCCATCCTTCATTGGCCGAACCGGCCTGGGATGGCTAGAACTCTTATTCCGGATTTCCTGGTAGCTCCAGAACCCACTTTCTATGCATTTTAGTCTAGCACTGTCTGGACGTCGTATGAATCTTCAGTAGTTGCGACCACACCGCGTGCTTGGGCTATCTTTAGCCCATGAAGGGCCCAAGAATCTAGCAGTAAATAAGTTTACTCATTACAATTTGACATATAATGTATGGCATTTTAATGAAGTATGAAATACAATCTGTTGCAGTTTCACATTATATGGCAACACATATTAAAACATTTAATCATACTATACCATAAATTATGCTATGATACAACGTTGCATTCTATATACTGAAATTGTTTGACAATATAATTATTTATTTAAATACACTTTACTAGTTTGTAGTAATTGTCGGTTAAAATAGGCTGGCTTAATTTGCTATTATTTTTCAAAGTATAGGGCTTTACAAAATAGAATAAATTATGATCAATTTATGCATCACATTTCATACTATACTATTCTATTGAGCTTAACTATAATGCATGTTACAGGTTAGTAACATAGCAGCATATAGTAGTATTCTTTATATTTTATTTGATATCATTGTCGTATCGTGTAATGTATTAAGTAACATCGTATATGAGTCTGGATGGGAACGTCTAGTCGAGTGTACGGTTGTAATAAATATATCATCATAATATGTTTTAGTTATAAATTGGGTAATTTTTAAATACTTTTGAACAGTCGTTAATAAAAGTTTTTTTAAAAACATCAGATATAGCATTTTTTGACAATTTCCAAAAGGGTCGTTGGATCTCGAATAATAAGTCGAGTAGTACTGGACCTATTAAGGCTATGCTATGAATGTGCATCGAATTGCCCTAATTGAAATGGGTAAAAAACTTTAATATCCGCGCCCATAAGTATTTTTGACCTAACTTGGATCTAATCAGCACCCAGTTAAGTTTGGGGTACCACTCAGATCCAGGCAAGCTTGAGATTGCCATTTAGCTCGAATGAAAAAGGCAGTTGGGCGAGAAAAACGAGTAAACTCAAGTGGCACTACAAATGGTCGTGTGCTCTAATGAAGACTTAAACACACAGGCCTACACCTACCGCACACAGTAAAACCCACATTTGCACTTATTTCCAAATCGACACATGGCATGAACTAACTGAATCGCTCTTCGTCCCACCCAATGTCATGGGATTGAACTGTATGCACAGAATAAAGAGGTGAGCAGTTCAGTTTTTTTGGCTTGTTAGCCCAAAGTGGTAGTGAGGATGTTAGGCAACTCTATGAATGCCTGTCATGTGGGTAGAAAGAAGTGTGTTTTGCGCTTTTTCTCCGGAATCGAAGGAGATGGTTCAGATGACTCAGTCAACAAGAAGGCTTCATTGAAGAGAGTTACTTCATCAGACCAACTTTCATTTAAAATTCTCATACAAGAAGCTCATAGAAAATCAACTTTTGTGTGTTTTTACAGTAAAGGAGGCTGATGTATGATCTGTGGAGATGCGTTAACAATGTACACGGCCGAGGTTTGGTCGCTGCGTGCCAGTCGGGCCGGAGAATGCTGGATCGTTTCTTATTTCCTGAGCCGAAAGCAGAGAAATCACACCTAACATGAACAAGATCTCATACACGACCCGACTCCTTGTGGGTTTTTTGTCTGGTTTGGGCGAGAAATTGTGTGTGTGTGTGTGTGTGTGTCGGCGTACTAGGTAAGGCCAACCTGTATGGGCCATGACGACAGTTGGAGTACTCGGCACTACTCTGACTTGAAACCAATCAGGAAGACGAAAGATAAGGTGACCAAGATCGGAATGTGTGGTTGGTGGTTGTCACAGCCTGTTGGAGACGGGGACTTTCAGCACTATACTGGACTTTGCGACTCGTTGGTCGACTGGAATTCAGAAATAGAAGCAGAATTTTTAGTTTATAATCCGATTTTCGAGACGACCAGCAGATCATTTATATGAAATAGATGGATTCACCCAATTTGGTTTAACATGACGAGTGGACTGGAGGTTGAAGTTTTTCAAAATGCCATTAGTAGACCTTACATATCTACTGAATTTCGCATAGTCTTACTTCACAAAAGGTATTATCATCCAAGCAGAAGTGGACCATGATTCCGACTGAACTGGTCTCATCACCACCTTCAGTGGGACTCGATGCCGATTTGTGCTTATGCAGCATACAATCTCGACATTACTCCACATACGTCAAGATTATACGTTACACTATCATGGTTCGAGTCCTGTTGGGGGGTTGATGAGACAAATTGAGGAGAGGTCGTAACTGCAGTCTACACTTGCCGGAATGAGAATAAGGCTATGCGAAAGTATATGGAAAAGTCAGGTCTACTTTGTGTGTGTTTGGGCGAGAACTGGTACTGAGGCTCACTCAGCCATTAAATGATGTGATTGCGAGGGGGTTAAGAATGAGGATACTCAATGTCTCCTTCTCAACACGATACAGATCCAGATAAGAATCCACATAAAAAGAACCTAATCAGGTGATTTAGAGATTGAGCGTATATATTTACCACAATCGGATAAGTTGGAACGGAATTTCACCTATTTTTGCCTCACACATAAGCTTTCTCTTACCGGCAGTACTGCAATTTCGAGCTCAACCGGGCCTTATCAGTATCAAGTGGTCACGGGACAAGCATAATTTTCACAATTCACATTTTCATACTGTGCCCACTTATAGTTGTCCTCACAATCGAAGGCACTACTTTGTACCAGAAGAGTAGATTCGGGAACTGTCAGGATAGCTTGAATAAGAACCGGACTTTGATTTGATTGTTAAATGTGATGAGAGAAGTTATAGTTGGTCTTGGCACAAATACGACTGATAGCTTCGAAACCTACTCACACGATTTTGACAGTAATATCATCGAAAAAAGGGAAGTGGCCGATACCTGAACCATTTAGAAAAATATAGGAAATACGTCTTGCAAAGGTGTGCTTAGCAAGCTCACATATGCGGTTCGCTTCTTAATTTGTTTATTTACCATACATATAAAGTCATACTATAGGTTGTGAAAGCGATGGTAATATTGCATCTGTTTCCAGCAGATGTAAATCACCGCGACAGTAAAAGGGAAGGTTGGGGAATATTTTTGCTCTAAACAATTATAAAATAGGATAAGTAATAGACAATTACTTTCCTGTTCCAATAAATCAGATGCAGGGAAATGGCTATTGAGGGCAGGGCAGGTGAATAGACAGCGCTATTCGGCTCCTGATTTTGCTATCCTGTCGGCTTTCGAAAAAAGCAGGTAAACAACCGACGAGGCAACATATGAGCGCATTTATACCCTCATTTCTGACATTTTCAAACCCTTTTGCTAGACCGGGTTGTTACAAGTTTTTCTACGTCTATATTTGGCAGACCTGACGACCCATCCAGACGAGGTTATCCTAACAAAATAGCGGCTTAAGGTTCTATGAATCTAAAAATCGGAACAAGCCAAAATCAAGGCTAAAAAGAGACACGAAATTGTATGGTCGAAAAAACAACGCTCAGTAGGCTACAGGAATAGCACATCCAACCATGAGATTAAGGAAACTATAGAAATTATGAAAAAACTGAACAACCAAAATAGGTGGGAAAGATT